GAAAACTCTATAAATAGCAGAGAAGCATTGTCAGAAAAAGTTGGTAGAATTCTTCTATTCCATCCTCACTGGTTTTGGTTGTTGGTGCATAAATATGAATAACAGTGGTATTAACGCGTCATCCCTGTAGGCACACGGATATTATCCTATCACAGACAGTGTTGTACCTCATTACTGATCTGGATATTTTCTTTCTGACAATGAATGCAACACCATTCCTCTTCAATTTGTCATTCCCAGCATTGTAACCTATGCGGTTGTCAGATTCAAAATGGCCAAATCCAGTCCAAATCAGCTCACTAATGCCTAAGATATCGATGTTTATGTGTTTCATTTCATTTTTGACAATTTCTAATTTTCCAAGATTTGTACTTCATATATTCCATGTTCCAATGATTAGTGGATGTTTACAGCTGTTTCTCTTCATTTTGAGTAGTGCCCCATCAGCAAATGAAGGTCCCACGGGCTTTTCTCCCATGGGCTTTACTCCATTTGCATCATCATGGACAACTCTACTTTGAGGAGGCAGCTCTTCCCCAGTCACTTTCTGAGTGCCTTCCAACCTGAGGGGCTCATTTTCTGGCACTATATCTGACAGCATTTCTATATATTCAGAAGTAGTCCATCACTCCTTTTTCCTAGTCTGTCTTCATCTGGAAGCTCATCTGAAACCTGTCCACCATGGATGACCCTGCTGGTATTTAAAATACCGGTAGCATAGCTTCCAGAATCACAGCAACTTGCAAGGTACCACAGTACAACAAACTGACAGAGGATTAGTGGGGTGATTGGTTGGGACCATGCAAATAAGGTATACAGGACTCTAAGCTGGGATTGGTTAGTTTTGCCCTCCAGCTAGGTTTACAAGGAGCCACCTCAGAAGCCAAGACAGAAGATCCCAGGACCATCAAGTAGGAAAAGCATGAGTGACAAGTCAGATCCCTATCTAAAGAAACAGCAATGGCAGAGGTGGTTGCATAGAGAGACAGAACAGTTTCTGGCTTTAGGTCCTTGGACTAAGTCAAGTTGAGTGGGTATGAGCAGGAGACTAGTCTGTAGAATGTGCCTTTTGGGCAATCACAGACCGACTACAAGAGTTTGTAATACTTGCCAGAGCAGGACAGAGGCCAAGGGACCACATGGCTGAGAGGCCAAAAACAAGAATGAGGCGTGCCTGTAGCATGGCAGACAACAGGAGTTCCTGACTGGAGGAATGCTGCACCCCTGAGTTGGTTTTGATCCTGAATTGTGCCCTGTTCAATTCCTTAATAAACCCCATAGTCATAAATACTGTGAAGAGCTCCGTGTGGCCACTGCAGTTGATTATCGAGCCCAGGTGTGAAGCAGAGAGGGCTGTGGGAGGAATGGCTGGTGTCAGAATAAAGTAAAGAAGGTTGTAGGGTGGAGGCATGTCTGGCCTCTGCTTCATAGGAATTGGCCTAGAGCTGATTTTGAGTTTGATTCTCTTTCCTTGTGAAGTCAAGGGAAGTCAGATATTATCTCCACATGGTTTTAACAGGGGTCTTCCTTTTTTTTTTCCTGACCTTCCACTTTACCAAGTATGATGTCATTCTCCAGGGACTGGTCCCTCCTGATAATATGTCCAAAGTATGAGAGTCTGATCATCCTAACTTCCAAGGAGCAGTCTGGCTGTACTTCTTACAATGCAGATTGGTTTGTTCTTTTGGCAGGCCAAGGTACTTTTAATATTCTCCTCCAACACCGTAATTCAAATGCATCTATTGTTCTACAGTCTTCCTTATTCACTGTCCAGCTTTCACATCCATATGAGGTTATTGAAAACACCATGGCTTGGGTCAGGCGCATCTTAGTTCTCAAACTGACATCTTTGCTCTTCAACACTTTAAAGAGGTCTTGTGCAGCTGACTTGCCTAAAGCAATATGTCGTTTATTGACTGCTGCTCCCATGAGTGTTGATGATTAATCTGAGCAAAATGATGTCTTTGATAACTTCAATCTTTTCTCCATTTATCTTGATGTTATTTATTGGTCCAGTGGTGAGGATTTTTGTTTTGTTTACATAGAGGTGCAAACAATAATAAAGCTTGTGGTCTTTGATCTTCATCAGTAAATATTTAAGTCCTCTTTGCTTTCAGCAAGCAAGGTTGTATCATCTATGGGATTGTTGTTGTTAAGTGTCATCAAGTCAGTTCCAACTCTTAACGACCCTGTATAGGATTTCTGAGGAGTGGTGAATTTGAACCACTGACCTTGTTAAGGTCGAGTGCTTATACTACAGCGCCACATCAATAGGGAGTTTCTAAAACAAGGTGGATCCCCAATCCACCAATGTTAGATTCAACTAACATTGCACTGGAGATACCAAAGAACACGAGCTGCCAGACAGCTGTGTGGACCGCTGTTAAGATCATGCCCCTGAAAATGGCCACGTGTGCATCCTGGCTCTGCCGTTCCTGAGGAGACCTGTCCCTGGTGGGCTGGAGGGTCTGAATGTGTAGCTGAGCCTTAGTGGAAATGCCTAGAGTTATCTGAAAAAACAAAACAAAACAAAACAAAAAAACAACCCTGTTGCCATCACATTGATTCCTTTGCATAGGGAATCTAATTCACGATGCTAATTTAAGAGAAAGGTTCCTTCCATATGGACTCTAATTCACCATGACACCATGATAATTCAAGAGGAAAGTTCTTTCACATAGAGACTCTAATTCACCACCATAATTCAAGAAGAAAGTTCCTTCGCATAGAGACTCTAATTTACTACGAGAATTCAAGAGGAAGGTTTCATAAAAATTTTGGAGGAGGGATTGGGCTCTAAAAATTTGACTACTTACAGTTAATTTATTGGAAGGAAAGAAAGAAGAGAAGAAGAGCAGGAATGAGGCAGAGTTTTGTCCACTCAGTGTTGATTTGGGGGAGAGAAATTGTTCAATGGAAGGTGGCATGCATTAATTCTTAGTGATCTATATTCATACATAGCATTTTAAGATGTTATCTAATTTTAGTAACTGAGCAATTTGGTTATTAAAAAATCTATTGGCTATTTAAACATCAGAATGCTATGTAGGGTTCATTGGATACTAACCATTCTTAGGGTTTCATGCAGGGAAAAGCAAATAGCATGCAGAAACTCCAGCATCTGCTCCACAGAAGACCCGAGGGATTGACAAAGGACAGGCATGCACATTCAGACTTTGGTTTTACCTTGTCATAACAGGATTGTGAATACCATATAAGTGATCTTTATGATAACCATTATTACCATATTCCATACTGCAACAAAAATAAATACACCAAAAAGACTGTGTTATCGCTACGATGAAGTATTTACATCATATGGATTACAAAGACAAATGCCATGGTCATGAAAAGTACATGGCAACATGTGAAATCGACAAGATAGATGGGGATAGTGACACTGTAGCCCATTTGAAAACCAAATATGGAAGTAACTGCTTCTTAGATTAATCTAACGTATTAATTTTACGGTAATTAATTCAGCGAGCATTTTTAAAGCAACTTCTATGTACCAGTGCTCATTTCTAAAAAGTCTAAGTAATTTATTTATATCTGGGCATTTCTATGAATATTAAATCAATTTAAGATGTTATTAATCTAACATAAAAAGTCCATTATATAATAATGTGTATTAATTTATTGAGCAAAATTACTGTTAACTCAGTGTTTTCTCTACAATGTTGCAAATTTAAGTATATTAATTTCACATAAAAAGTATGTTTTTTATATTTATCTGTATAAAATTTCTACTAATTCAGTAAGTTTTCTTTTAGATGCTATTCATTTCAATTAAAGAGTTTACCACCTAAAAAACATATTAATATAACATATAAAACAACTCTTTAAATTAATTCAGCAAGCATTTCTTGAGCAACTTCTATACGCCAGTGCTCATTTTTAAAGAGTTTTAAGAATTTATTTGTATGTGGACATTTCTACTGCTATTAAATAATATTTAAACATTATTCATTTAACTTAAACATTATTAACTTAACTTAATGATGTATATTAACTTATCACGTAAGATTTCTATTACTTCAATACGTTTTCTTTAAGATATTGCTTATTTAAGTATATTAATTTCACATATAATGCTTTTTTTTTTTTTTAAATTCATTCAACTTGTCCTATCTTGAGCACCTTCTAAATGCCAGCACTCATTTTAAGAAGCTTCAGAATTTATCTGTATCTGGATAATCTGTTGTTATGACATAATTTTAAGGTAGTATTAATTCAATTAAAAAATTCCATTATATCATAAAAAAATAAAAACTCCCCAGCCCATCTTAAGAATATGCTTGAAAAACAAAAGGAAAAAACAAAAAACAAAAAAGCTTACTTTTTCATGGGTACAGTTTCAACACTACAAAATACAAAAAAGGGAGATAGGATTATTTCTTATGCTCACTGGAAAAACTGGATACCTACATTCTGTCTTTTTACTCAAACATCGATGTTAGATGGGAGAGGGGGTGGGTGCAAATTCAAGAGAGGCAGGAAATACAAATGAAACATGCACATTCATCAGGCACAGAGGAAAGGGAGGGAGCACGAGGGGGCAAAGTCAAAACCAGTAAAACAGTTATCATAAAGTAAAATGCCAGGTCCCCGAGACAGAGCAACTGTAAATGAGAAAGGAAAAGAAAGGCTGGTTAGGTTGAGAAGATTAAGCAAGTGATTGAAAAGCAAGAAGAAGAAGAAGCTGTTAAAAGAGCAAGACAAAGTCCAGACAAACAGAATCCCTGCACGAGGATGAGCCATACTACTCTCATCTTCGACAGCTCTTCGAAAACAGCACACCCCCCCCCAGAACATGAGCCCCCCAGCGTCTGTGGAAGCTCTCATACTCACTCCTCGTACACATCCTCCGACTCCATCTGACGATAGTACTTGGCCAGTTTGACAGCAATGATTAGAGCCGGAAGTAACAACACGGTAGCTTTTCCTATGCCAAACCAATACAAATTCTAGGGAGAGAAAAACCAAGCAAACAATCAAAAACAGATGCTTGAGGATGGGAAGTAGAAACAACAGCTATTTCAGAAAAACAAAAAAAAGTAAAATATTTATGTAATTTACAAACACAAATTTTACACACACACATATATATATATATATAGAAAGAGAGAGAGAGATAAAGAGAGAGAAGGAGCTCTAGTAGCATAATGGTTATGAATCAGGCTGCAAGCTGCAAGGTCAGCAGTGCGAAACTACCAGCTGTTACGCAGGATAAAGATGAGGCTTTGAGGGTCGCTATGAGTCGGAACCGACTCCACGGCACACAACAACAACATCTATCTATCTATCTATCTATCTATCTATCTAT